GCTGCTAAATACAGAGAGATCCTCAGGGAGCGGAGGATGCCCACGAAGGCGGAAGGAATATCCCAGGATATCCAAAGGAGCTATGTTGGCCTGACTGTGCTCCCAGAGAGGTCTATGTTCAAACTCTCAGTCAGAGTTTGGCCAGCAACAGTCCCCCCGACAGTATAAGGGCTTTTAAATTGTTTAACATAAAGTAAGAGTAATAATAACGCACCTACAACAGGCCCATGATGGGGGTGGGGTGGGACACAAAAAGCTGCATCAGGACCTGGTGATTTAAAGAGGCTCAGGGCTCCCAGTTGCTATGGACAGAGCGGCAACAGCAGTGGCCGCAGCCCCAGGTGGCAAAGAAGGGCTGGCTGGAGACCCTTCCCTTTTGCCTGAGGCCCGACTCCTTCCGGGGAGCCTGCTGCCCCCGGGGAGCGTGTCCGCTGCCTCGCCCACCAACTCGATAGAAATAAGCCTGGCTGGCTGCTGAGTCGCTCACTCAGGACATTCTGGATAAATCTGACTCAAAGACTCGGATTGGAGTGTGGTGGAGCACAATGGTGCCCTGACCTAGGAATCTCAAAAGGAACCTCTCACTTGATTCCTCAATAAGGCTAGGTCTATGCTACAGAGTTTTGGCGGAAAAACAGTTGTTTTTCCGTAAAAATTCACAGTGCGTCCACACCTCAAGCGAGTTGTTGGGTAAGTACATCGAAAGAGCAGAAGGGTTTTTGTGCAATAGGTAATCCTTATTCTACAAGGAAAAACGCCTTTTTGCACACGAGTGTGTGGATGGGGAAGAGGGTTTTTTTGCACAAGAGGGAAGAGGAAAAGCACAGGTGCCCTGGTGGCCATTCTGTCCATAGCGATCACTGCTTTCTTGCGAGAGATCATCCAGGCAGTCCGGATACTCTCTTGCACAAAAGTGCATTGCTTTTTCGATGTGCTTTTGCAGTGTGGACGCTCTCTTGCACAAGACATTTTTGCAGAAGATGTCTTCTGACAAAAGGTTCTTGCGCAAAAAGCCTGCAGAATAACCACTGTATTCCTATTTAATCTTTGAATCTTTCCTCCTGTGTTAATGATCAGTAGGTTCCATAACTGTGTGTGTTCTTCTGACCTTGAAAGTTTGTTCAATGTAGTCTTTGTTTTAGGAGGTCCTTGGGGCTTGGTTACTTTACAATGGCTTCTCTTGTTGCAGCAGCTAGTAATCAATTCATTTGCCAGGAGTCTAGGCAAAACCACTATATCCCTGTGAAAACGTACAGCACTTAACGAACATTGTTTGTCATCATAATACTAGAGAGGGAGAGGTGCACAGTGTATGAATAATATGAAAATATACTAAAAAGTCTGCTTGAATGAATTGAAAACATGTATTGTAAAATAGATTCTTCGGGCTAAGGAACTGTTTTCCTCCTTTTTGCATTGTACTTTATTACGGCGTCAATTTCTCAGTCCCCCTCCCTTCACTGTTGCCAAAAATGTTTCATTAAAAGGTTATTATTCCACATTATGGATGTGCTGGCTTATCAAACTTCAGGGTGAAACATGGAGCAGTTGAAGTACCAAAGTAAAAAAAAAATAAAGAATAAATATTAATCCCTCTACTCCTGGATCACAATTCAGTAGAACTGTCAGGTTGGTGTCATTTTGTTTTAAAAATAAGTAATTTGTGCCAAGATCTTATATGCTGGAGGTTTGGCCTGAAGTGAATATTTGAACATGGTTTAAAAATAGGGAACAAGATAAGCTGTTAAATTTCTACAGAGGAGAAGAGCTTGTTTACTATGACCAGTAGAGGAGATAGTTTTGGCCCTTCCAAGGGGTGATGAACTTTCCTCTCGATCAATGCGATGAGAGGTTCTCCTGCAGAACGTCTCCAGAATATCAAAAATATCACTTGTCTCCAACAGACCTAAATCCCTTAAGTTCTTCACAAACCAAAAAAAAAAACCACTACTGAAAATTTTATGCATCTCTTAAAAAATTAAATTTGAGTTCATATTTTCAAAAGCCAGATTTCTTTTTAATCTTTGATGCGATTACCCCAGTAATAAGGATTACTAGAAATCAGTCGCTCCCTTTGTACTATTCTTATATGCATGCCATTTCCATCAGTTTTGGGAATTGCGGCAAGTCTAGGACTGTAACAATTGGTGGTTCAACTCAATAGAAATGACAGGACTAGACATCCTTTCATGCCTTAAAAATTATGTTATATTTATGAGATCAGTCCACTTGAAACATGATTTCCCTTGAAGACTACACTTCCCTTTTTTCCCCCAAGCTTGCCTTGCCACTCAGCAATGCTGAGAAAGTAGATAAACAGGAATGTGATACCAACCGTGAACTGCCGGTTCTGTCGTCGCCGTTGTGTCTACACACGGGAACAGAGGATTGTAGGAAGGGAAGAAACAGGAGGAACGGCATGCAAAAAAAGGGAAAATGGAAAAAATGGAACAGATAATATATGAGCAAGCTTTCAAAGAACATTGCGTGACAAGCAATAATAAAATGAAAGGTAAAAAGCATTTGAAGTGAGTTGCACTGTTTAGAGGACATGCCTTGAATTCAAAAGCTGTGAGCCTGAGGAAAACAGTAAATTCTTTTGTTTTTTCTGGAGTCGTGCCAGGAGGATATTTACTGGTGGTCAAGAGTGAAGGGGAACATGAAATGTGGGGAATACCACCAGGGTCAACTCTTTGGCTGATAAGTACTTACAACACACACATGCACAAAACTAGGACAGAGTCCCAAAGCCTGAATATGGTTTCATACATTCAAACATTGCCTTCCCTAAAGTCTTCCCCTTCAGCCTGTTTACCCCAGTTCCTTCATAACCAAACCAGAAGTCAATCAGCCAGTTCCTCAAATTTCCCCTCCTCCAGCTGATGCCAAGATACTGCAGGGTTTAATTTTGGCATTCGGCTCATTTTAGGGTGGCTGAGGAGGTAACAATTAAGCAACAGGGAGATGACGAGGATGAGCATATGGTATTACTCAGAACTGCATACTCAGTTTGTAGGTGGCCTTTTAGCTTGGTTTCTAATGAATCATGCACCAGTGAGACATTCACTTGATTGAAAAGTGACTTCACAGATTACTGAGACAGCAGGTGGAGACCTCCAATTCCTGAGAAAGATCAGCTATGCTCTGATCCTTTTTTAGTCTTTTATGCTAAGCTCTGAAGAAAGCATTTATTTTTTCAGGAAGCTGAGTGTCATATGTTACAAGTTAAATATATGGCATTGTTTTCATCTAGCCTTGAAGCTATCAGTTTAGGAAACTTGCTTCACTTCAAACTGCAAAGCTTTATGAAAGGCTTGGGAAATATTTTTTGGAGTTATGGCTTTGCTATCTAAATCAGCACTGCTCCTCTTCCCTGAGAGAATAGGACTATATAGACAGTTTTCAAAAGACTATCCTGTATTTTGGACAGATTTCCTTCCACCTCAACTGAGTGCCCTGGCAACTAAATTATCTTCCAAAACAAAAAAATCCCTTCTCTACTGGGCCTATTTACATTTCAGCAATAACACTCTGGCAGTGTCTCGACTGGCAAGTTTTTCCGCAAAATCATCTGCTTTTGCGGAAAAACTTGCCAGCTGTCTACACTGGCCGCTTGAATTTCCGCAAAAGCACTGACGATCTCATGTAAGATTGTCAGTGCTTTTGCGGAAATACTATGCTGCTCCCATTCAGGCAAAAGTCTTTTTCCGAAAAACTTTTGCGTAAAAGGGCCAGTGTAGACAGCAGAGATTTGTTTTCTACAAAAAAGCGCCGATCGTGAAAATGGAGATCGGGGCTTTTTTGCGGAAAAGCGCGTCTGGATTGGCCACGGATGCTTCTGCGGAAAAGTGTCCGGCCAATCTAGACGAGCTTTTCCGAAAATGCTTTTAATGGAAAACTTTTCTGTTAAAAGCATTTCCGGAAAATCATGCCAGTGTAGACGTAGCCTCTATGATTAACCCAAACCTTAGCCCAATTCAGTAAATGGAGAAATCCATCTCCATTCATTGACCAATACCTGGTTCTACTTTCACCCTTCCACTGCTAAGCTGAATTGGACAGAAAAAATTGTTACTATGTGCATTTGTTGGTTGCATGCTACGTAGGCTGATTGTTTGGGATGTAAATGGTCAATACCTACAAAAATGTTCTCCAACCCTCAGTAAAGTACAGATGTCATTCACATCAGAAAGGGGCTTCAAAGGACTACATTTGGACAACAAAGGCAATGTTTAAATGAACAAAAGCATATGTTAAAGTGCAGGGCGGCACTCTAAAACATATAATTTCTGTAAAGTAGCCAGGAACTTTAGTTTCATAATGACAGTACACAATTTCACACAGGCGTTTCCCCTCACTTAACATGCTCTCCTCAGAACCATAGGAATTGTAGTCTTTCCACATATTCAAAATAAGAGTGAAGGGCTACTCCTCTGTATTTTAGCTAAGGACAGTCTATGTTAGAATTTCTGGCCCATCAGTGAAGACGAGGATCAGACAAGGAGTACACAATACTTACAGATTCAAACTCTGCACGCTTTAAATATCAAAGCAAAAATAAATAAATAAATAAAAAGCACAATTTAACAAACTCTACACCAAGATTTGCACGACAGATTATCAAGTTTGCTCCAAACTACAAGTGCCAATGTACACTGTTCTTATCTTGGCAATCCAATTTAATATTCCAGCACTTGTTCTCACTGGGAACTTCGGTGAAGGCAGTACGGAAGCCTTCCAAAATAAAAATGAGAACAAGAGTGGGGTGGTTGGGTTTTGTTTTTTTGTTTTTTGGAACCAGCTAATGCCTCATTTTAAACAAGCAAATGGCGAAGGGGAAAATGGAGGTGGTAAGGGGAGCATTGTTTAGAAGGAATTACAGAACTGAGTGTCAACTCTTGAGCTATCATCTTGGCATCTACAAATAGCCACAATTTACTGTCTTCCTGCAATAAAAAAAAAAAGTTATGTCAGCATTCAGATTAAATAAAACTGTGCTAGAAGCAAACTTGGACTCATGTGCTGGAAAAGATATTAGTCAAGAAACAGCGTGAACTGGACAGTGCATCTCGCTTCCTCTTCTGGGGACAGAGACCAACAGCTTACAAAAATAACGTTTTAAAGCCATTATAAGCAAGAACAAATATCCAAGTCAAACAACATGTTTGCTACAGCTGGAATGGTAAAGTTATGATTAGCAAATGGATTGCATGATTACAGCAGGAAACACAGACCAATTAAAGGGCTTTCTGGAGGTCCTTTTCAATTCCACCATCTTCTTTCAGAACAAGGATTTTGTACACTTTTTTTTACTTCCTGTAAGGCAGGGTATGAAGCTGCACTGGAGAGGAATGAGCTCATGTTCAGAGATTTAAAATAACACACTTAAGAAAGATTATTTTGCATCACGAGAGAGAGAAAATTAGCCTTTTGCCATGCTCCTTTGTGAGTATATGCAAAATGGTATAAATCACTTTCAAGAACACTACTGCTCTGCTCCATGTAAGAGAAGAAATATACCAGGAACAGGAAATACTGTGCGGACTGCTTCTGGAATGTCTTATGGTTTTACAACTGTTTTATGTTTTTAAAATTGTTCTCTGGATTTCAGAATGGTCCACTTTTAGTTTTATTTCATACTGAGAAGAACCGTGTCACCTCACTGAGCTACTTTACTTTCCAAACTCTGGAGAGAAAAAAATGTAATTTTCTCCCATAGAGCTGAAGAGAAGAGGTGTGTCATTGTTTGCAGTTTAAAGTCCAGTGAAATCAATTAACATCTTTAGCAGGCATTTGATCAGCTCCCATAGCGTTGGGTGATTGCTACAATCACATGAATTTTATGAAAATGAACACTTGATGTTTTCTATTATGAGATAAGCAAAGAGAACAGAAGGAAGACTGTAACAAAACACTGAAGTGGAGTAAAGGCATTGCTCAGTGGGGGAGGTATAGGTTGGATATTAGGAAAAACTATTTCACCAGGAGGGTGGTGAAGCACTGGGATGCATTCTCTAGGGAGGGGGTGGAATCTCCATCCTAGAGGTTTTTAAGTTTCGGCTTGACAAAGCCCTGGTTAGGTTAATTTATTTGGGATTGATCCTGCTTTGGGCAGGCGGCTGGACTCGATGACCTCCTGACATCTTTTCTAGTCCCAGAATTCTATGATTCATATCAAGGTAGAACGAAGAATAAGAAGTTTCTGGTCTCTATTTTAATTAGTAAGATTCAGCTAAAATTTTTTATATGGGATAGTAAAAATAACCAATGTGCCTTCCCAGTTATTCACATCCATAATCACCCCAGTGTTCACGAGATCAGTGATACCACCTCTGGGAGTACACTGAGATCGTCCAGGGGGTACACTGACTCACTAAGACATTAGCCTAGTTTTACACCAGGCTACATAAAAAGCACTAGTGAAGTCAGTACAAACTAAAATTTCATACAGTGACTTGTTTATAGTGCTCTATATACTATACACTGAAATGTAAGTATAGCATTTATATTCCAATTGATGTATTATACAATTATATAATAAAAATGAGGACGTCAGCAATTTTTCAGTAGAAGCGCACTGTGCGATAGTTTTGTATTTTTATGTCTGATTTTTTCAAGCAAGTAGTTTTTAAATGAAATGAAACTTCGGGTATACAAATCAGATTCCTGAAAGAGGTACAGGAGTCTGGAATTTCTGAGACTGTGCTAGATGACTGTTTTATGAGCATCATTCAACATGGCATTCCAGAAAGGAAGAGTTCTGTTGGTATAAAGTTGCATATTTCACTTAATAAAGATTTCCTTTTAAGGATCAGTCATAGGATCACTCAGTCAATTTATTGTAGCTATGTCTTGAATGAATTAAAACTCTAATAGACATGATGATGGGTGGAAGATGAAAGTATTTGCAAAATGGGAAATCATTGGCAACATTCAAGCCTTGGCACACCAGTTATTTAGCTATGTTGCAAAAAACATTGCCTCAGAGGTAGCTGGACCATATTTAGTTGAAACAGTGGCATGTTAGCTCCACTGTGGTGCATTCTAATTCTTTCATATGGCTTCTTTCCCAACTTAAAATTGTTCATTGAGCATGAAAAACAGAGGGCTTAAAACTAATCCATAAATTAGTCCATAGTCTTGAACAGAATGAACACCACACATGAAAATAAAAATCTTCCGAACAAAATTAAATTCATAAACTAAAATGCTTTTTTCAACTTCCAACCGAACTGCTCTGCTCCTACCTCGTAAGAAATGACAGATTTGCCGGGTTTTAAAAACAAATCTCATACTAGAATGGATAGAACAGCGACATCCAAAAGGGCACATAAGACTTTATTCCACCCATTTCATGTGTCGGTCTTT